AAAATAATGTAATTTTTTAATTATTATTTAAGAAGTATGTTCATAAAATAGTATAAAATGAACTAAATGTTTTCTTGTTTAAGTACTTGATACAAAAAAGAAAGTCATTAGACTGTTAATTTCAATTACATGTTTCTAATCACACTCACTTTGGATTGCAACTGTGCCTTTTTCTTTGATACATGAATACACCAAAATGATCGCGTTTCTGAATAACTATTGAGAATATTGTTATCAAAGCCACTTGGTGTTTTCGTATCGTTTCTCTGCTGAATGCCCTTATTCTTCACTATTGGCTGGCTTATTGGTCGATGATTAGCAATCGTATTCGAAATTCTCTCGATGTTCGATGTGCAGAATGCAACGGCTTTTATCGGTTCTGTTTTTCTGTTCCATCCTAAAGAGTATCTCCTTATTACTTTCTTAAGGACTATCTTAAACTCTAAAAATTTTGATGTACGTAACGTCTTCTGTTGCTCCAATATCGCATGACCTATGGTAAGTAGAGCGTATATCTGACGAAGAGTTCGACAATGGCGGAATTAAATTACTGCGCGAGAAGATCTCTGAATTTCTCCTTCAGAAATATACGGTAGAACCTCGATTATTCGGTATTTAAGGTCTCGCTATTTTCTTGCATCAAACGCACAAAATTAATTAGAGTATTTAGTATTCAATTTAATAATTACATACTTAATATTTTCTGTAAGTGATTTTAATACAGTGGACATATGTGTGGGTAGGTGCTCTATTCAAAGCACAAGTATATATGTGTATCATATGTATGTATCGAGTTACTCGAAACCAACGTCAAATATGAGAGTACCAGATTGTATCATATTTCTTGAAGACAATATTATTCGTATAGACCGGTATTCGTATCATTTTCACAGCAGACGTAATCCACTAAGATTTTCTGACTCTGTTAATGGCTTTTAATTTTCATGTCTCTTTCTCTTCCTCTTTAGTTAGTACATGTTCTTCTTTTAAGCTAAATACATACATATTCTCGCTTATTTCCTATTCCATGGTTTGGCTTGAACCTTACCTATATCAAAGTTTTCAGAATTTTTTAACGTATGAAATAGGTATAGAGTGCTACATGCATATGGATTAAAAAAATGACTTTACCAACGCTGCCAGAAACGTACGAATTGTACAAAAAATGAGTGACTCCATATATTTTTTGTTGCTGCAAACATGTACTTGTGGAATAGTGAGAAATATGATTTAGTATGGGTTCAATTTAATTCTTCGGAGCAGTGTTTCAGGCATTTTGCAATTAAAATAATATGACTCGTATGTGTATCATCTTTAGAGATATTCATTCTTGAAAGCGTTAAAGCCAGCTTCATATTAGAGGTCTGACATGGCGTCTCGCCGAACTCCATTCACACGTTTGTACACTATTCGAAAAGGACAGGACATCACAAATGAAAGGCCTCGAGCAGGATTAACTCGTCCCGTGAGGGTCTCAAAGGTTTCAATATTCGCCCAGATTAAGGACATTCAAACGCTTCAATAAGTAGACAGTCTTACTCCATGCATAGGCAACTGCTCCATTCTGATTCGGACGCAATTTCGCATGTATCAATTCCCATTTGTATTCCAGTTCTAATCGAAGTAGTATTTAGAGTTTCATAATATAAAGAGATCAACAGAACGTGCATTGTTGTCGAACATATTTACTTTAATATTCTGAGGCTAAAGAAAATTAAACAAATTCTTATCAGTATTTTATTTCATTTGAATATTAAAATGAATTTTTGAGAATAATTTCCCTACATTATCACGGCAGAAATGATTTCCTTGACCATTCGGAACGCATATTACAGTGGGTACAAAAAATTTGGCAGACGGCCATATTTTCCACTGAAAAGTTTCTTGATCGAGTTCTGCACCTCATTTAGACGGTTCTAGTTATAAGATAATGGCCTATAAAAGTATCATTAAATTTGTAAAAATTTTAAATCCAATTAGAGTTTATATGCAAATCTACAGCCACAGATTCCCATAGTCAGCAAAGTGTACGATGGTCCAGTTCACGCAGGAAACGGGTTCTATAATTCTATTTAAATACAAACGCGGAGATTGTTTTGGTAATTGAGCGGCGGCGGCGGCGATAATCGAATGCGAATAATCGAGGTTCGGACCCGGCATTATTAAATATCAGCGTGCTCGTCCAGCATTGCAAATAATCAACAAGACTTTGTATTCGTCACGGAGAGGAAGCCAGCACATTCCGCAGTGTTATTGCGGGATCAGAGATTCGATCGTAGGAAAGATCGTAGCGCGACACTTGATCGTATCGCGCCGTTAAGAGCCGTTGATGAAATGCACTTTGTTATATCAATCGATCGACTCCGGCCGGTGCTCATGCGTAAGCAACCGCGGACCCTCATTCATGCTCTGCGCGATTCGCACATAATCAATAAATCATTCAATTCAGCTGGTCTCTTCCCATCTCTGAGCAATCGCCGGTAAATAATACTTTTTACTGCGGTACACGCTGTTCGCGTGGAACGCCGAATTCAACACAGAAATGCACCGCGATACATTCCGCCTACAAGATGTGCAGTATTGATCCAGTTGTTTGCGAAAGAATGTTGTGGAGGATCTAAACAGCCGCGCGACTGTATCCCATCGGAATTCAGGCTTGGACGTATTTCAGTCCTAAAAACGAACAGGGCGCAATTAAATTCTTGTGGCTCGAATATACATATAATTTTAGAACGTTGCTCTGGTTTTCAGTCTGTTTTTCATTTCTGAGGGAAAATTGTGGAATAAATTTACTACTATTTAATAAACGAGTACCTGTTTCTTGAATTTTAAATGAGATGTTGATTCCAGGTTTCAATTTGCATTTCAATTGTCGGCGTGAAAATTTATCAAACCGTATTGCTAGATGTACGATGTACTTCCTTAAGTAATAGATTTAGGTGTGCTTCCGTCTTAGATCTTTTTATTCTTTTTATAGTTTCACGTTTGTTTAACATCGAATGATGTATGTTCTTCGTGGTAACATTAGAGTTTATCACTTTTTATTTTTTTTCTTTTTTTCGAACAAGAAGTACTTAGAAGTGGATGCTTAATTTTCTCATTGCAGTTATATACACATATATGTATAGTACAATATAGAACAGGAAATAATTTTCCGATTTGTTGGAAAATGTTACCTAAATACTTGCCAGTACAGTTGTTAACTCTACTGAAAGCTGCGACCGTTATTCTGATATCCGGGCTGAAACTAATTTAAACTGTCGAACAATACGAACAAACGCAAGTATCAAAGAGAAAAGTTCATTCGAAAGTAGAGCATAGCAAAGTTCGTTCCTTCGAAAACTGGAATCTTTTCGGATTCATAAATTTCTAGCTGAAATGCTTAACGAATCTCTCGCTGAGTTCCTTCCCTTTTTTTCATGGAACCAAACCTACGATATTAAAATTAAACTTTACCTCGATATTTATTACTTCAGTGGAATTCGATCAACTTTGACACTGTATAATTGAATGAATTCTCGAACAAATTAAGGGTGGAACGTTGTTACTTTGTTTTCCTTATTTTATTTCGAGCTTCTATCAAATGCGAACCTTCCATGCGTTTCGCAATTATTTTACAGTTCCTTTTGCCATTGTGTACACATCGATGCGAGGAGCATCTGGCTTGTCATAATTATGCCTCGATTTTTTTAAACAAACCATTCTGTTTGTTGTCTCGCATATTTCTTTTGCGCAATGCGAACGTGAGACGTAAACTTTATTTAACAAGCGTAGACTAAGAAACGATAAAACATCAAAAGTATTAGATGTGATCGTACAATTTTCGAATTAAATTGCCGCGACGACGGTCCGCATTGAATCCGCGATACTGGTCGAGTCCTTGAAAAGTTGCACCTAAATGTTTCTAACGGCTACGCGTGGAAAGAGCATCGCTTAAACGGAGGCAATGATTATAATGATAACTTGAAAACTTTTGGTTTGAATGAATACAGAGTATTACACGACCGAGTATCGGCAGTGTCTGAGCCCAAAGGGGCAGCTCTACTTGAAGGCCGACAACGAGGGTAAGCCTGACCTAGCCTTTAATCATCACTTCCGCAGGAGCCTTGTATCATCATGCCATATGTATGACACACCGACACGCCGACGTTTTCACGTGTACACGTATTCCATTCCCACATATACACACACGGACACACCACATTATTATTATGCTACCATCTTAACCCGATCCGTGTGCCCCCCTCACTCACGTTTACTGTATACTTCTATTTAGAAGCTGCCACTGCTTGCTTTTTTGCTTGCTTTCTTCGCGTTCAAATTTCGGCCACGGGTCGCTACTAACGAGTCTCGTTCCACTCGCGGACTCGGATGTATTTTTCTTTTTTTCGTTCAGGTCATTTCTCGATGTTTTTTGTAATTCAGCGTACCTTCACCCAAAATACGAGTTTCAAAACGAAGGAAACCTCCTTGATGAATGTGCGACTTTTCCACTCGAACACGTTTCTCTGTATCTACCCATCACAGTTCCCCTGACGATCCATTACTGTTCGACATGATTTTCGGTGTATATATAAATGGTTATATATTGTATGTACGCGGCGTTCTCCATTTCTGAATAGAATCTGAATAGATCTGATTGTGAGATACTATAAGCTACCGTCTTCTGCACGGAGCTTCACTTCCAACTTGCTGTCATTACAATTTCTCTGTAATATAATCAATCTAATTTTCTTTGAAAATAAAAGTGAAGCTTCGTGCCGAAAACTTGTGTACATCCACTCTGTTTGTCACGGTGCACTTGAATTGAACACCAGCGTTTATAAACCATCTATTATTTGTTAGTATGATCAATGTACTACCACCGTAGATTCCGTCTATAATGTTTTACTGTCTTTTTACTCGTAAATGGATTAGCTGTACCATCTATCAGTGTTAATTAGACCATTGTTAGAGACCGAGACATATGACTGCGTAGTAGGAGGAAAACCGAATTGCGAATTCGATGAGAGAGAGAGAGTTTAGATAGTAACTCGATTAAGGGTTTGCCGTTCGTAAACAAGAAACGGATCAGTATCCAAAGGGAAAGTAAACGAGGCACGAGGAACACTCATTTGTCGATAATAGCGACTAGAGAAAGCTTTATCTTCGACGACGGGAACAATCGAACGAGGTTAACGTGCGGTTGTCCGAGAGAGCCACGGTTCGCCGAAGAATTGCCGGTTGGTTAAGAGAGTCAGAGAGAGGACACGTTCACGAAACTCGGCTTCGATGCTTTGTGACCCGTGCCTAAACTTCGCTTCGCAGACACAATGACACACACAAACACAGGCCTGTCTTTCCTCTACGAATAACGGCGATAAGGTTCTTCTTATCGTCGATGACGGCAGATACCGCGCATCACCTCCGACCCCCAGACGATAAACGATCCTTGTCCTATTTGTCTGTGTTCTTTCGATAGGGCTGACGTCTCCGAGCTGCAATTTCCCTTTCGAGGACCTGACCGACGCCGAGGATTCGCTAGTGAGCGATACGGAGGACAATATCGGTACTCGTATGCCTGCCACATACGCATAATAAAGACGGAACCGGGGGTAGACACGAGGAGACGAAAATATCTTTCGCGTGCCTAATTCTTCTAGTCATCGTGTCGGACGCAAAAGTATCGATTCGTTCGTTCGCAGTCGCCGTCGACAAAAAAAGTCGGCGGGTGTAAAAGACGGGGTTCGATTTCAGTCTCGCTGGCCAATCGACGAGCGTGCGACGGATTTTTATTGCTCGTCTGGAACGCAGGGACCGGATCAAAGCAACGCGCGCGGTTGCTTGTTTTCGATGCCATGACACGCATGTTCGTTCTACCCCCGTGTCATTCGATTATGTCAGCTTCAGAACAATACGTAGTGTCCGTGTAGACACTCCACTTGACCTACGTGCGGTAGTTTGTTCCTGTAAAATCGTTGTGCAGGCTCGCGTAGTGACAGATATATACATACATACATATTATACGTATATACATACATATATATACACATATGTATATATTATATACACGTTGTGACGTCGAGGCTGCCTAGTATATTCTCAAGAATAAGACAAAGGGCCCGTCTCTAATTTTTCTTGTTTCTCTTTTCCGTTTCGTTTGATTTCTCCCCCTTTGGTCGGCACACCTTCCGTCTTGTAGCGTGTATACGAATGAGACAAATTCTGCTTCGTCGTTATAATTATGGGGCGTAGGGAGTCACGATTGAAGGGTTCATTACGCCTTTGCTTGCCCATTTGTTGAAAAGAATTTTTCAATTTCTATTACTTATCATGTTTATAGATGTTAAATCAATAAATGTACAGACTTCTAAATTCAAGTTTACTGATTCGTTGCCAGAATGCAGCTTCATTGGTAAATTAATTTAAACTTATGCATACGTTCTTACGTAAGAAAATCCAATTACCAGCCTTCAATTTAGTTTACGCACATGTTTTTAAAATAAATGTTAAAAACTGCAGAAACTCGACTGAATTTATTGTCGACTGTTATTCTCTACGTAATCAACTCTTCAATGTTTTACTTGCGTGGTCTAATTGCGTTTAAAAACTGCCCAATCGTTGGGCTTGATTGTGTCGTCATTGTTCGTAGCGGTAGACTAGCCTGTCTCTATGTGGTGTCTGCCTATATGTGTCTGCGCTTTTGTGTTTTTTTTCTTGTTATTACTGTTTGTTATTTGTGGTGGACTGTCGTACATTACATTATTATCAATCCACTTGAAGAACAATTTGTGCAGGCAATATATATTTGGGTGTTAACTGTCTAGGTCGTATATATGTATACATATACATAGTATGTATTTATTATGAAATATGTTTTAAGTAATTAAGTCGATACTTGTTTATGTTAAAATTCGTAGGTATGTGAATTTGATATAATTTGCTGTTTGAAACACTGTATTACGTACAACAGAAAAAAAATTATAATTTCGGTCGGCAGGAGTGAATGGCTAAAACAACACAAAGTCAAGTGTACGTATATCACTGCGACACCAGTAATATTCATTGCTAAAAATCAGGTCAATCAAATATCAGCTCTCCAATCAATTGTCCGTAAAGCTGATTGATGCATGTGTATTTACATTGTATAATGGCATCCGCTAGCAATAAAAACTTCAGCGTTTACAAATCAAGTTGAAATTTATGAACGCAGTAAAACAGCTGTTCTAAACATCGTATATTTCCAACGATAGTCGGAGTCGATTTAAGACAGGGTACGATCGCGCTCTACGCTTATTTATCAAGCGCAATTTGCAAGCGCGAGAGTAAAACATGAAACTAATAACTTCACCATGCGTTACATGTAATTTCACGTGACGCGCAGATAAAATTCACTTACGGTTAATGCACGGTTTTGCTGACGTGCAACTTTTACGAATCCCTTTTTGCTCGCATTCATTCACTTATGTTCGCTCGCTCGCTCACTGAACGCACGAATGCTATCTAATACATTGAAAATTATTCGTGCCTCGTCACATTTTGCAATGTCCAATTCGTAAAGCAACATGATGCACAAACGTCTAAATTAATGAACCTTAATAGTTAGCGATTCGTCAAATACGATTGTAATGGGAATTATTTACACGGTATGGATAATTTATACGTAACTCTGTAATTCACGAACGTCATAAATGAATTACTGTTTTATAATTGTTATTATGCATGTCATATCCCGCACACTATTTCTATCTCTCTAATATTGATATATTTGAAGATCATTATTTAACGTACTGGCTTAGAACTTAATGTATGGTTTTACCCTATTTTTCATATTTAATCCTATTTCGTATTCTCTGTGTGTGTGCTATGATTTTCACGTACCTTTGTGCATCTTGAATTAATTCCGAGATAAGCCGGAGAATATGAAGATATTCTTTAATTTATGTTCTTCTCTTACATTTCTACGTGAACAATTATTTGTCGAGAAATTGTTGTATGTAACTTATTTAGGACTACAAATTCGTTTGCTTTTAAAAGTTTCAAATATCCGTGTTATGATAAATGAAATAATTGATATCTAAAAAATGGTTAATATAAATGTTAACCAGGCTAGTGGTTTCGTGTTTTCATGCACAATATTTGCATTGTAATCGATGTTTCCTACATGTATAATATTGTATTGCATAAAGGTTTATTATGAACAGGAACCTAATTATCCGTCATTATTCAAAATATATATTAGTAGGCGACTGTGTGTCTTGTAGTTTGAATTTGTCGATCGTTCGTGGAAAAGCGTAAAACAAAAGGTAATTAGGTGCCTTGTTTCAGCTTGAAAGCTCGCTAACGAGAGGACAACGGTATTAATACTTGCAATGAAGACGTTTTTCGCACTTTCGTCGTTTCTGCTTTGTTTGCCTTGACAACCGCATTTCCTGTCATTTTACATATCTCCGAGAGCCGTTCAATGTTGGTTGTACCCTTCTTTTCGTTCCTCTTTCTGCAATTTTCACTAGCTTTATGGTTAGACCTACATATTATTGTATCTTACTTTTCATATTATTACGTTCACGCATTGCTACTCAATCGATTGAAGAAAAAAAAAAAAAACCATCGCGTTCAGTGCTCGTATGGTGAATACTCGATGCGACAACAATGCTCTTTTCATTGAATGTTTCATCTGTTTCCGCATTTATATACTACACATCCCTTTGTTGCCATTACATATGTACTCAGCTAGCTCAGAATCAATTGATCTGTTATTTCCGTGATAACAAGCATCTTTTTCGTCTTTTTCTTTTTAATCGAAATCCGGGCGGTCAGCGTTCGTTCAGCGTCGTGTAAAATTCATCGTGAGTTCTCACCTCACTCGGAATACAAATTATCCGCGGCTTATTTGTCGAACTCTAGTTAAAAGCTTCGTACCATAAATCAGGAATACCGATTTAACGCATGAGCGAATCAGTAATTCATTCAGAATGGAATATAATGTTGGGTAAAACGTACATTGAAATGTATGTAAAATTTTATATAAAAAATGTGTCGATCTAAATTTCGTTTTATCAATCTTGCGTTGATTTAGTGGTCTATTTTTTATGAAGATCGGCTGGGACACGCGACGCTGAACTCGATCGCGGAACAGCTGCCGGTATAAGAAAAAAATCCGGTGAAACGTAAGAGAACACACGCTCCCTGTTTACGACGCGGTATGTCGTTATTAGCCGGAGCGAGAAGTTTACGGGCAAACATGAAACTTCCCGCGTGAAACTTGACGCGGAGAAAGTTTCGGGGCTGAGCTCTGAAAGTTTCATCGGACGTTAACGATCGACCATGCATCGCATCGGCGCGAACTTTTCGAAGTAATCGCCCGCGCATACGTCACGACTCGCTTCCACTTCGCTGAATAGGTACACCGCGGCGGGCGATTGTTTTGCATGCCTCCTGACAATGTTCTTGGTCGCGCAGGTCGTATCGGATGTCCACACTTCATGTCGCCGGAAGTGATCCAGCGCAGACAGTACGGCAAGCCCGGTGACGTCTGGTCAGCCGGAGTGCTGCTCCATGTCCTATTAACCGGAACGCTTCCATTCGTCGGCTCCCGAGACAGACTGCGGGAAGCGATTTGCAGGGGACGAGTACAGGTAGAAATGCAGGGCGCAGCAGTCCTTTTAAACAGCGAAAAGAGTTTATGACGCTTTCCCTTTAACGCGTCGATCTCTGCGGATGCACTCCTCAACGGTATTCATAAAACTTCCAGATGGAGACGCCGTTGTGGGATAACATCAGCGAACCGGCGAAGGACCTTATACAGAGAATGCTCACGACGGATGTAAATCACAGGATCAGCATACAAGAAGTACTCAACCATAAATGGCTCAGAGTGAGTGTTTGATTTAATCGTATCTTTTCTATTCTATTAGAATTATTGCATTCGTGATTCGTAGAAAATTATAACTCGATTTATAACAACTGTGTCGAGAACGTAAAAAACAGGTTTACAGTCTTTATTTTATAACACTTTTAAAATGAGATGATCTTAATACGATGTTCGAAACAATAGAAAGGTGAGAACAATTGAGAGGATAAGCGCTTGTGCAACGGCGCGCTCGTCGAGGCATTTACGTTAACAAGTTCTATTTAATGGATGCCACAGGCCTATCTGGTTCTTTTTATATCGTATATCAGGTTTTCGATAAACGGCCTCATTTTCTGTTATTATATCCGGTGAATGTGCGTGCGCATGTGCTCGGCGTATGGTGTAATAAGGTGAGAATACACCTATACGACACGACAGTTAGCCAGTGACCTAAGGTAGCGGAGCTGGGAGTCACCCCATATATCGATGCAATACACGTGCAACTGGGCTATCGATCGCTATAGTAGGGGCAAAGTTCCACCGGTTAATGAAAATAACTGTAGCGGTGTATATTTTTCTCTGTGCTAGTTACAGTTTTTTGAACACCATCGCGCGCTCGCTCAAGTCCCGACAACTTCATAGAACCTCGCATAACGATCGCTCTTTCTTTCTCGGTACAAAGAAACTGTTAGATATACTTTCTTGAATAGAAACAGAGGATCCATAACGGAGGATGTATTCTATGTTTCCTATTAAGAGAAATGCGAATGGCTAAAATATTTGAATATCCACTTTTTTCATCTGCAGATCCAGTCTCATCTTTCTAATGAACGTATGAGTTTTACTACATGTGACGATGCAATATAGAAATGTGATACAAAATGTGAATTAATGTAGCTTCATTTGATACTTCAACTTCTGTACTTTGAATTATTTTTCGAGATCTCTTGATCTTAAGTAATGCTTATATGAACTATATTTGTAGGATCGAGATAAGGGCGTGGCCCGAATACATTTGAGCGAAACTATAGAGGAGCTTAAAAGGTTCAATGCTAGGCGAAAATTAAAGGAATCTGTGAAAACGGCGATATCGTCCGTAAAATGGCACATCCCGTACTCGGAAATCAACGGCGACGGCTATTTCGATATAGGAGACGATGAAGTGGTTACCACAGGTAAGAATATTTTCAATATTTAATAAAATAATAATGACAATAAAACTAAATAGTCAGATAAGAATTTCTATTTGATCTGTTCATTTACAATATCGATTTCTGACGCTTTAAATAATTTTTTTCAACGCTATATTATTTATATTATTAATATTATTTAAGTAACATGTTCAATTAACTAGTACTGTACTGTACGCATTATTCTGAAGCAAAAATTATTTCCCAGGTGCTGTACAGGAAATTTTAGACTCTCTGGACGATATTGAAGTACTTCAAGAGAGTGGAAGACTGACGCGTAGCGAGATACTTAATGCGGTCGAGGATTATCGCCTTCGAGCTCTTTTAGAGGTATGAACAATTTTAAAGTCAACATATAACGGCTTTATTACATCTCATAGCGGTGTGCGAAATACATTTCCCAGATCTTTATCAAACGAATGAATCTTTTGTTTATCAAAATATTCGTGCGCGTACATGTTATTAGAAACCGTACATTACGGGAAAGGGATGTGTAATTTTCTCGCTATAAAGATCTAGTTCGTCTACGTACGATGTGTATAAGAATAACGTTGGGAGACTATCATTCGAAATTATTTGCTTGAAAAATCACACAATTTGTTTTTTGAAAAACGTTGCATTATTGCCGATAGACGGTGCACTGTTACCGCAGCCCGTGGCGCCACCGTCGAATTCTCCGGACTTTGAAGTCATTCGGCGGTTCAGTTGCGCGTTGCTCTCGCGGTCCTTGCCTCTTATCGTGTTTATATCCTGAGGGAAGAGGTACGCGCCCTCATTTTAGCCAGGAAAAGGGCGCTTGCGCCCGAGCCCTCGATTATCAAGATGGCTGACGAGTCGGTCTGATAAACAAAATGCTATGCATGATCGAAAAGTCGCCGGATCGCGTCGTCATCCAACAGGCGGACGTGCGTCTACGTGCGTTTCCTTTGTGTCGCGTTAAATGTCACGTGAAATCGGGCGGCCCACGTGGTTAGAATTATGACAGGAGTGTCGTGAAACGCGAAAATGCGTCTCTGCCAGTTAATGTTTATCGGCGAGGTCGAACTGGCCGGCGATCTCCTAGAAATTGCCCACCTCTTGGTAAGTGGTAATTCAAACGTGCCCCGGATAATCGCCCCACCGTTGGTCTACCCTTTCTCTTTCGTCGGTAATGTAAACAATACCCGTTCTCCACACACGAGCTTTCGGTGACCCGATGGGACATCTGAGGGTTTCGCGATGAACTAGCGTGTCCTGCCGGGAATATGGTTACATACCTATACAGTAAAATAATAGTTAGACTTTCATGCTGATTTCTGTAGAACGCTGAATAGTGGATTAGCATCATTGGCTCGTTACGAAAATTACGCTAATTGAAGTTTGTGAATCTCATTACTTCAGCATAGCAGACGGAAAAATAAAAATTTGACGATCCGTAATTTTACAATAAATAACCACAAGCGGATGAAACTGATGTTGTTAAAAGTAGAAAAGCCTCCTAATTAAAATGCCGTTTGTTTCATCTCGATCCGACTTTCGGTTCCGGAGATATCGTCGTGTGAAGACGACCATAACTTTTTCGGTGGCGCTATTGTTGTCCTCGCACGTTCACCGACTCCCGGACCAGCCCTAATCCCCACCGACCTGTCTAGACGCACACCCGGATGCTACGCATTCTCAGGCAAATAACTAGGTCACCGTGTCAGTAATAACAAATACTGTGCTTGAGAACTATGAAAGTCTATCGAGATGAATCAAAAGCGATTGTTCTCATCTTGGCTTCTCCTATCAAGTGAGAGTGTTCTCGGTAAAGAATTAAATATTTCTGTTTCGATAACTTTACGTTTTTACTAATATTCATAACTTCTTGGAGCCCAGAATCATTCTTGTTCCTCCCTCATTAGTCTATCATTATTCACGATATAAGACATAATTAAATTAAAATTAAATCTTAATTAAATTAAGAATTTAAATCTGCTATTTCATTATTCATTATCATTAGTACACATCCACTATCCAATGTTTTCTAGAGATCAGTTGTCTTTCGTCGAACAAACGAGCAATTCTGTTTTCATTTACTTTGATAGAATAGGATAGAATAGAATTCGTATAGGTAGGGGAGGATAGAATTCGTATTTAAATTTTTATAGGTAGGTAGTGTTAGAGTAAATCTCTTGTTAAATCTGGCAATTATACATATAATAAAATTTAATATAAATGTCTACAACAATTACAACCAATAAACAATAATGGGAATTGTATCTCGTGATATACTGCAATACGTAGATTTTTAATTAAGTACATATACAAGTCTATAATAATTGCAAACAATTGAAGCATATTTCTAGTAACGTACAGTGAATTAAAAAATTAACGTGACGATTCTTTACAGCTTTACGACAGGATCTCGACAAGAGTTCCAACGCCATGTCGTGCACCGCCAACGGACGCTGTTCAACGTGCGCGAGAGGTCGAAGAACTTCTTCGAGAGATAGAGCATTCGGCGATACGAAACATCGACAGGGCAGATCTTCGGGAGCTCCACGAACTTTTGGTCCAACCACATATGAGGGTAAGTACCTAATTTGTTTACAGGCTTCGTCTATGCTCAAATCATCATTGAACATTGACATCCTTTTCTTTTATGTGATTGAGAAATTCGTTTAAGAATTAGGATGTTATCAGCGTTGTTGAGTTCAAAGATTATGATTTTATTTTATTGTGACGTATATATAGTATAAAACGAAGTGAGAAGAGAAATTACTCTTTATATTCTTTTATATTCTTAATCCCTGAAAGAGATTGACATTTTTTGAATCAATAACAGTTAAAGAATTCCTAACAAAAAGAGCTTCATTGACACAATTGCATGAGTTAATGCGTCGTAATTACGATGTACACCTACGGATTTTACAAGAGTTGAAATATACTGAATAGAAACTAAGACAATGGAATAGGTTTTTTCATTCTTCTCTGTGCAAAAGAGAAAAATTGCCAAGGTCCATTATAAACCTTTATACTATAATACGGTTTCTCGTGCTTGATGAAGGCGTCGATAGAAGAAGTCTCGGAAATATATCTTTGTTCTTTTTTACTGTAACCGGTCGGTAGCGTATTTACCGCGATGTTTGACATCGCCCACGATACACCGTAAATAGGGCACAACAATTTAGGTCGATCGTTAAAATTCTCATTTAAAAATCCCGTGGCTATAGTGAGGGAAACATGTAAACTGAGGAAAAAAAATCTGTCCGAAAGAGCAGGACAACGAAGGGAGAAAATATAGAAAAATTTCAAAAGAACGGTAGGATGTGTGCAGTGTGCATGCGAGAACTGATTCTGATGGTCGATTAGACGTACTACCACGAGAACTGACTTTTATTCATTTTCCCTTTCACGCGGTTTGCTAGACAATTATTATTCCGAGGTTGGTCTTTCCGTGAAATTACGTTGTCCCAATCTGGTCCGATTAGCGTTAAGGAAATAGGCAATCGGCCTGAGGTCTTGAAAGGAACTTGACGTTTCATTTTCGAGTCGAGGAAAACTAATTACTTATGCCCGATGCAATAATTTCAATTTGGTATCCAATGAGTGCATTCGTTACTCATTTTTCTTCGGTTTATTGACATTCAGTTTTAACTTTTATTTATTAGAATTATTAATGTATTTATATATCGTATTTCCAAAGTGAAAATATAATCTTGAATTTTTGGTATTAATTCGCGTTAAAGGTAGGTCATGATTTAGAGAAAGCATTCTTTGTATTGAGAGGACGTTCTTAAAAAGGAAACCGTATATCAGGAAACAGGAAAACGTGTAATGGATCCATTCCAACGTTTTATTAGTGTTCCTCGTTAGAGTTTGAAAACGGCCAGAGTGAAATTGCAGTTCCAGCAATAATAAAGAGCACCTAGCATTCAACAGTCACGAGTTTCGATGCGAGTTCAATGGTGCGGGTCAGAGAGGGAAGCGAATCCGTGGTACCACAC